GGGGGGGGGGTTGCAGCCGCGTTGCATGGCTGCAGCCATCGATCGAACAGCCCAGGGCTCATACATGTGGCATACAGAGACTACCCCCCATCCCGCGCTGCTTGGCCATCCAAAGATCAAGATCCACTCGCTGGATCTCCCTCCACGGGTGCTGCGTTCCAAATCCATCCCCTTCATTATCTCAGGTCCTCTCAAGGTTATCTGGCAAGTCTTCACCCTCGTCCATGTCCTGGGCTATGAGGCCCCTCCTGCGCAATGGCTGCTCATCCAGGTATTTTTCTCCCCAAAGAAAGTCATATGTGCCTTGATATAATCTTACACACCAACTCCGTAGAACCCGCCGTCGATCCCGACCCTAGCGATCGCGGCCATCATAGCCAGGTGTCGTAACACACGCCTCCTCATTGACTGGCACAACTACGGCTGGACCATCCTGTCCGGCACGCGGGGGGCGGGGCATCCCTTCGTGTTCGTCTCCAAGCTCTATGAGTGCTTCTTTGGCCGTGCCGGCAGCGCCAACCTCACCGTGACGCACGCTATGGCCCGCCAGCTCCGGGAGAAGCCGTACCGCATCAGGTCCCCAATCGTGACCATGCACGACCGGCCCCCGGACATCTTCCAGCCCATCAACAACCCCACGACGCGGCTCGACATCCTGGCCCGCGTGCTCGAGTCCCGCGAGCTCGCCGCCGCCGTCGTGGACGGCTACGTGCGCCTCGTCGTCAGCAGCACCTCGTGGACGCCCGACGAGGACTTCAACCTGCTGCTCAGCGCCCTGGTGCAGTACGCCAACGACACGCAGCGGAGCAGGCCGTTGTCGTCGTTGTCGTTGTCGTCGTCGTCGCCGCCGCCGCCGCCCACGCCCGTGGTCGCCGTCATCACGGGCAAGGGCCCGCAAAAGGCCATGTACGAGGGCAAGATCGCAAAGATGATGGCCGACGGCCTGGTCCCCGGCGTCGCCATCCGCACTGCCTTCTTGTCGTACGAGGACTACGCCGCCCTGCTGGCCTCGGCCGACCTGGGCGTCTGCCTCCACATGTCGAGCTCGGGCGTCGACCTGCCCATGAAGGTCGTCGACATGTTCGGCGCCGGCCTGCCCGTCGTCGCCTACTCCGGATACGAGAGCTTCTCGGAGCTGGTCAAGGAGGGCCACAACGGCTGTGGCTTCGAGACGGCCGGCGAGCTGGCTGCCTGCCTGGTGCGCCTACTCGGGGTTGATGGGCAGGCCGAGCTGGCTGCCCTCCGCAGGGGTGCGACTCAGGAGGGGAGCCGACGTTGGGATGAGGAGTGGGACACGTCTGTTGCGCGGATTCTGGGGTTTGTCTCTGAGTAGTCCGTGTCTTTCAAGGGGGTTCCCCATACCTGGGTTTCTATGAGCCTGCGGCGATGAGTTTTTTTGAACGCTGCCTCCCTGGGTGGTAGTGCGGATAAGCCATGTGTCGCCCACTGTGACCAGGACAATGAATATACAAGAAAAGAGAGAAAAAGGAACCAATTTATACTGAAGGCGCGCTAATTTTGATTGTCCGAGACACGCCTCCCGCTGTGCCAATACCCCGCAAACTCCAGAAACGCCGGTTCGTCGTGCGGAGGAGCGCAAGGCCAGATATGTCTCCCAGTCATGTCCTTTACTAGCGAGCGTCTCACCCAAGACCAAAGACGGAAAACAGCAGCCAACCCCAGCACATCCCCCGCCAACAAAGAAGCAACAAAAAAATCAGTCCTCCCCAAGACTCTCCCTGACGCACCGCCTGACTATGCGCCTAAAGTCCTTGCTCTTGCCGTCTTTGTCGTCGCGCAGGAGGCGGGCGGCCTCGACGTTTGCGGGGCTCTCGTCGTTGGGGCTCGCGAACAGGCTGATGACGCTCAGCAGTATCGTCTCGGGGCTCTGGACGGGGCTCCAGCGCTCCGAGGCCGCCTCGTAGCCGTACTTGTCCTCCTCGGGCGGGTGCAGGATGCTGATGCAGAGCAGGCCGTGGTCGTAGACGTTTGGGTGGAACGGGACCGGCTTCTGGAACACCAGCTTGGGCGGCATCAGCGGGTACGCAGCCGGGAAGGAGAGGCGGGCGCGGAAGTTTGCTCCTGTAGGGTGTGTGTGTTAGGAGTTAGGCTAGAGTAGGTAGCTAGTGAGGAAAAAAAAGAAGCGAATACGCACCGCCGTAGTACTTGACGTCGTCGCTGATCATGAGCATCACCTCCCACTCAAACAGGTTGTTGTCGTCGACGAGCCCGACCGATATCCCGGGGATATCCTTGTCGGTCCTCATCTGCTTCAGCTGGCGCCCTAGCAGCAGCGACGCCGCGGTGGGGGCCGACGAGGAGCTGCCCGAATTTGACATGGCGAAAGGCCGCCGGCTGTCAGGGCTTCAACGGGGAGAAATTGTCGGGATGGGGGGGTATCTGGGGTTTGGCGAAGCGCTCGGCGGCGGTGGGAGGAAGGCGTCGGCGGGTGCGGGCAGGCCGAGGGATGGGCGAAATGGGCCAGCTATGTGGTAATTCGGCGGATGGCCCGGGGCTGATGGCGGTTTTCTGATCGGGCTTGGGTCGGGTGACTAGTTGTCTGTCCGGACTCCTCAGGTGTCTTCGGCACACGCGGTTCGACTTTTCCCCTCACCGAGAGTCTGGCCCCAGGGCGGCGACGTTGGCGGGGTCGGCGATCTGCTGGACAGGGATCCGCTGGCCCTGCAGGACCCGTCGGAGTGGCTAGATAGGTGTTGGGCTGAATCGTCGGTTCGCTTGCGATGCTGTCTTGGTAGGTTGTACGTATTATTGGGATGACCACACGATGACAGTTGAGTCCGCAGGAGAAAACAATAGCTTTGTTTCTACAGATGCTGTTTATTGTTAGTCTTGGATACCCTATCGGCCCGCCCACCCGTCTGGTCGAGGAATCACAATGGAAATGGCTTCCTGAGTTGAGCAGCTACAACTTGTAAGCAGCACACCTGCTCTCTGGGCCGCACATGCAGTGCACCAATCCCAATGCCTGGTCCTTTGACACCTCATGCGCAGGGAGTATTGTGATGTTGCCTCGACTGCAGTATACAAATTTGATGGAAGAACAGACTCGCCACATCCGCGTCATTTTGCCAGATTTACCAGATCAGACAAACAAGCTTTATGCTCTGTCTCTGGCCAACTGGGGTATCACAAAGTCGCCAAATCGATCAAACACCGCTTAAACACCAAAACCAAACATCATTTTGCCTTTGACGAACCAAATCCAGATATGCCCATCATGGCCATCATGTCGTCCTCCTCGTGTTCTCCCTCGATCCTTACGTCTTCGCCGTACTCGGGCTTGACTTGCGCGGCCGCCTCCTTCTCGGCTTTCTTGCGGTCCGCCAGCTCCCTGCGCTTCCTCCTCTTCTCCTCCCGCTCGCGCTCCTCCTCCTCCTTGCGTACCTCGAGCCGCTCGTCAAGTTTGTAGACCTGCTGCTTCCGCCTCTCCTCCTGGCGGCGCCACAGCGCCTCGATGCGCGCGTGCACGTCCTCGGCCGAGGCCGCCTGCACCTCCATCTTGCGGCCCGTGGCGATCTGGTGCTGCGGCGTGTTGATGTGCTCGAGCATCTGGATGTTGTCCTTGAAGGTCAGGTCGCACGCCTCGCAGTAGAAGCCCGCGCCGCGCCCGCGCTTGCCCTGGCCCGCGCCCGCCGCCACGAGCTGCGTGCGCCCGACCTGCGCGCTGAAGTCCATGACGTCGGACCGCGCCGACGTGTACTCCTCGTCGCCCGTCAGGGGCTTGTGGTACTTCTTGCCCGCCATCTTGGCCTCGTACCGCGCTTTCCGCTCCGCCGCCTCGTCCGCCTCGCGCTTGGTCGCCTTCTCGGCGTACTCGCCCGCGTCGCGCGTCCGCCGGAACGACGTGTCGCCCGCGGCCTGCCCGTAGGCGGAGCCGTTTTTGCTGGTCGACATGCGGGCTGGTTGTGTAGGCTGGGTCGGTGCCGTATGACGGGCTTTGTTGTCTTGTTTGTTGTGGGCTGAGATGTTGGCCCGAGACTGGGATGTAGCTCTGCGCGGGAATATCGTTCGTGGTGGGTGGCCTGAGAAACTGTCGTTTGCCTGCAGCTTCGGGGCGCAGTTTGGAATCGCTGGATAGATAGGTGGTCGTATGTTGCGATTAGGGAAGGCACTTCGCTGTAACCTGCTCCAGAAGCAGAGCAGTTGAGTCTCCTGGCTGGCGATGGACGGGATTGACGAAACTTGAAGCTCCGCCCGAGCTCCGCACCGACGAACAGGGGCAACGGTGGATCGCGACATCATTGCCGCGTCTGGGACCCACTGTTAACCGGTACCGCCAAGTCGCACTCAGGCAAGACCGATGCTGAGGTACCGGTTCATCTCATCCCACCTTGATACCCCGCGACAACTTTTTTTTGTCTGTTTTGCGACACCATTTCCAAACTTTGCGCCTTGTTAACTTCCAAACTTCACGATGCTATACCTAATAGGCCTCGGCCTCTCTGACGAGACCGATATCACGGTCAAAGGACTGGAAATTGTCAAGAAAGCATCCAGGGTCTACCTCGAGGCCTACACCAGCATCCTCCTCGTGGACCAGCCCACTCTGGTGCGTCTGCTAGTCCCCTACCCGACCCTTGCGTATACCCCTATACACCACGGCGCCGCTGACTGACTGCCTATGGGGAATAGTAGGAGTCTTACTATGGCCGCTCAATAGAAGTCGCCGACCGCGAGATGGTCGAGTCCAACAGCGACGCCATCCTCCGCGGCGCAGACACCGAAGACGTCGCCTTCCTTGTGGTTGGCGATCCGTTTGGGTACGTGCTCTTAGCTCCTCTTCCACCCCTGAGCGTAAGTCACGACTTGCAGTCAGAGACTAATACTCGCCCCTCACAGCGCCACCACGCACACCGACCTCGTCCTGCGCGCCCGCGAGCTCAAGATCCCCGTCCGCACGGTTCCCAACGCATCCATCATGTCGGGCATCGGCGCCTGCGGCCTGCAGCTGTACAACTTTGGCCAGACGGTCAGCATGGTCTTCTTCACCGAGAGCTGGCGGCCGGCGAGCTTCTACGACCGCGTGGCCGAGAACCGCGGGCTCGGCCTGCACACGCTCGTGCTGCTCGACATCAAGGTCAAGGAGCCAAACTTCGAGTCCCTCGCGCGCGGCCGCCTCGTCTACGAGCCGCCCCGCTTCATGAGCGTCGGCACCTGCGCCCGCCAGATGCTCGAGGTCGAGGAGGAGCACGTCAAGGCCGGCGGCGAGGGCGGCGTCTGCGGGCCCGACGCGCTCGCCGTCGGCGCTGCTAGGGTTGGTGGAAAGACGGAGAGGTTCGTCGCGGGCACCCTCAGGGAGCTGTGCGACGCCGACGACGCCCTGGGACCGCCGCTGCACAGCTTGGTGCTGCTGGGGAGCCGGACGCACGAGCTGGAGCACGACTTTGTGCGCGAGTTTGCCGTCGACAAGGAGAACTGGGACCGCATATGGAAAGCGAATTACCAGCCGAGCACATGATTACCGAGATAGAAGTCTTGGGATATGATTGTGTTTTGAGCTAACATACGTCATCCAGCTCTTGTGCTCGCCAGTATCTGGGGCCTCGGTGCGATGCTATCTTGCCTATCATACAACTAATGACCGCCGACCTGTCCATATGCCCGCGATACCATTCTAGTTTGCCTTCCTCCACAGCTCAATCTCGCCCACCGAGATCTCGCGCAGCTTCTGGATGGTCGGGGTCCTGCCCGTGATGGCGCCCTGCGCCACGTCGGCGGCGCGGCTGACAAAGTTCTTGTTGGCGACCGAGTACGTGGCCGTGTTTGTGCGGACGCGGATGATGCCGATGCGCGGGTCTTCGGCGCCGCCGTCGTGCTTGCCGTCGCCCAGGTCGCCGACCCAGGCCTTGAGGTCCTTGGAGTAGTGCTTCCGGACCAGCTCGCGGTCCGTCTCGACCGTGGCGGCGCCCGAGACCGACGCCCACTCGCCCGAGCCGTTGTAGAAGGAGATGTTGACGTGCGGGTCGCCCGCCAGCTCGTCCGTCTTGCCCGACTCGGTGTTGGTGTGGAAGAGGAGGTCGATGCCGCCGGTCTCCTGGTGTGCGGGAATTTAGCCCTGTTAGTAGTCTGGCGCCACTGTGGAGAGTCTGTAGCAGGTCGACAAGCGCCCGGTGCTTACCTTTGCGGCGAGGGCCATGCACCTCGAGACCAGGTAGCCGGACTTGGCGTCGCGCGTGGTCATCATGCCATATTTGCAGCTCGAGATGAAGTGACTGAGATCGTCAACCTTCTCCTTGACAGTGGCGTCGGTGTCGAGGTTCTTCGCCTTGTAGGGGTCGGCGGGCTTGTCACCCGTGGAGGTGTTGGAGAAACCGCTCGACATTGTGGTGGTGGGTGGAGTGTTTGTTTTGGAAGACGATGATCTGTTTTCTGTTGTTGCTGGTGATTCTTTTGTTGTGGGTGTGCCTGGACAGACAGGATGGAAAGGAGAGGATTGAGCGCCAAAGGTTTATCCTCCCTTAAAAGTCCCAGGTCATTCCTTCCTCTTATTCTTCGTCCAGTGTTGCCGTTTAGTCAATGGTCTCGCCGCTTGATGTCATTATTTGCGTGCGCTTGTCTAACACCAAATGTCGTGACGTCAGGGACCGCCCGAACGCAAACGCGATCGGCTACAGGCGCTGGCATCGCGGGGAAATGCAATCTACACTTGATCGGGAAAAATACGACAGTCGCAGGAGAACCACAGATACGATCGTCTGATGACCCTAAGGGCTCCTATTCTAGGTAGTACATCAACCGGCATCTAATGATCAGATTGCCAGTTTGGTGGGCTGTAGAAGCGCTCCCAGCGTCTATGCCCTGTTCCCAACTTATAGGTAGGTGTAACATCCAGCTCGTGATTTCTGGTGCGTCAAGAACCAAACCGTTCTAGGCTGAGCTTGTCCAAACGCCAACGATAACTGCAACAATTGTAGCGATCAATGCCGCAACAAAACAAAGAATTGGATTTAGGATCCCTAGCATGGCCAGGCTGGTACAGAGAGCAAAGAGACCGCCTGCAGGTGTGAAGGCACCGAACGCCCACGACTGGAACCACGCTGCGAACGAGCCGGCGACGATGCCGACGGGACCGAACCCCAAGGTAAACAGGATCGTAGCTACCAAGGTGAAGGTGATGAGCCATGCTAATATCGCCCACATCAGCCACGCAGCTTAGTGTGGGAATCATGAAACATCAGTACTCGGATAGCACAAAGGGCAAAATTGGACGAGGAGGGCCGGGTTGAGAGCTCACGAGGGTGCTGGTTCCACTCTTTAACACTTTCCCACGTCGCGGATAGCCATCCCAAGATGACTGCCCATATGCCCTCACCGAACGAACCGAGCTCGATGTCCGTCAGCTTGTGGGCGAGGGCTAGGACGGGAGACATAACGGACGCTTTGCTTGTTGACGAATCAGAATATCTTTTGGTCGGATTGATATGGCTGGGTTGATCGCTTGAGAAATGATAGAGATGCCCCCAGGAATCCGCGGACGCGAGGCTGGGAGCTGGCTTTATACAGCGGTGGGAGGCAATCCGCCCATGTCGCCTGCAGCTGCAATCTCAACGTGCAATGCGGATGCAACCCTTGTGCAGCCAGCCGAGGCAGACACGAGGCAAACTACGTGCTTGACGGCCACGGGCTGCTCTTTTCTTTTTCCGACCAACAGCGATAGGTGGTCGAAGAAACGGCCAACAGCGTGATACGTGCGGTTGCAGGCGGCTTTTCACGCATCCTGGCTGGCTGCCTTGAGATGCGGGAGGCCGTTCAAGCCAGCCTGGGTTGGGCCGTGCGCAGGTTGTGGCACAGCGCACTTGAAAGAAAGAGAAAATTGATGGTAAGAAGCGGGGGAAACAAGGGAGCCCGGACGATTCTGCAAGAAGAGGAAACAAGAAGTGGAGATAAGAAGAGTAGAAAAGAAGAGGAAAAAATGAAGAGGAGATAGGGAAGTGGGAGAATGAGATAAAAAGAGATGGTACTAGCAGAGGATACCAGAAACGGGAAGCGGAAAGTCCTGGGATTGGCTGCAAAGCGTTCATCGGCCGGACAGAGCGCATATGAACCGCCAGAAGAGTCCGAGACTAAAGGCAAACGGCATAGCCATCCCAAAGGCCAACCTCAGCGCAAACAAGGCGGGTGTATCAGTCTCGGGGGCACCGCTTTTTTTCGACGCCTCCTCCGGCTTCTTGCACTTTTCACACGGACACACCCGTCTACCTTCCGGAATCGGGACGAGCGGAGCCGTGGCCGCCATTGCCGCACAGCTGGCGAAAAGCACAGTCGAGAGCCGGAAGCCGGCGCCGCCAGACAGGACACAGTCGCCGATCGCGGCCATCACGGCGGTGCCGATGCCGACAAAACGGAGATTCCAAGGCCACAATAGAAACGCGTGGAATGTGAAGGAGCCCGTCATGAAAAGCAGGATGAGCCAGAGATCTAGGTGGGGAGGGAGGGAGGGAAAGACAAACGGTCAGCTTGCGGAAGAGATACGGCCCGCCGCCGGGTCAAAGGAGACCAGCAGGAGGGAGGGAGGGCAAAACTCACGCCACGGTGGCAGCAACGCGAATAGCACTCCTGAAACCAGCCCCCAGATGACCGCGAGGTGGCCCCCGAGCGACCGGCGCGCAGTCAGAGCCAGCGTGGGCTCGGCGGCCGCAGTGGCGGCCGCTTTGACTGCGGCGCGAGTGACGACAACGGCCGGCGTGGGAGCCATGACGACCTGGACAGTATTGAGACTGATCGGGGTCCGGGAACCGAGATCCTTGGCGGTCGTGTGAGCGAAGGGCCGTATCCGCTGGGAGAGAAATGCTTTCTGTTTGTTGGTGGGTAGGTAGGTGTAGGAGTTTGGCACTCCCGTTTGTAGGCTGGAAATCTTCCTGTGTCAATATGTGATGAACCACGATCGTTACTTCGGTCTGGGGGTACGTAGATGGTGGATGAAGGAGGAAACACCGAAGAAAGTAGGCGCGGGGAGGCAAGGGATATACTTCAGGGCCGCATGCGCAGCCCCAAGCATGTGAAGGCCTAGTTCGATTCCTCCGGCACGGCTGTAATTGTGGATGCCCAGTGCCAACTAGGTTAGAATTTTCTCGCTCGCTCACCAAGATACCTTTTCACGTTGAAGAAAAGTCTCTGGATTAGAACGAAAGCTACAGGTATCTCTGTAACCGTAAATTATCTTTGTGTAGAATGGTGGGCATGTTTTGTGTTTTGGGTTTTGGGAGGCACTCGTTGTGATTCAGAACTGGAGGTTGGTGCCTGGGAAAAGGTCGCGTTTTCCTTTTTAGTTGTGGGGGAGACCGGCAACTTTTACGCAGCACCTGCCTTTTCTTATCTCATCTGGCGGGCGTTCGGGCGTCATCCCCATGGAGAGGCACAGCATTCGGGGATGAGATGGACGTATCAGGCTGCTTCGCAGCCGCCTTGGACGCCTGAACGACGATCCTACAAGGTGCCGTGGTGCTTTGCCTGTTTCCAGCGCGACCAGCGTCAACTATGAGTACTAAATAATGATATGACTGACTTCCTAGGCTCCCACTATCCGTCTAGTCCAGACAGGCGCCTGCATTTATTCTGGTAAAAGGTGCACGTGTGGGGGTAGAAGGCCGCAAACCTGGCTTGAAGGCGCACCCGATTTTGTTCTACCGCGTGCTGCTAGTCGGTCTTGCAAGGTTCAAACCCACATCAACCCATTCTTGACCTCGCGGCAACGAAGCGGTACCCGTGTAGTCCCAGAAGACCAGCAGCCGTGCAAAACGTGCCGAGGACGAGAAGCGCGCCGGTCATGATGCCCTGCTCAAAGAAGCCAACGTGGACCTGCTTCAACGGCCTCTTCAACGCTTTCAGGGGCTTCGCCAGCTCCCTCGCGAGCGTCGCCATGGATGCCGGTGTTGCGTCTCTGACGGCCTTCTCCAGGGAATCCTGGGCGCTGCTGACGGGCTCCACGTACACGGGCGTCGGGACCGTGAACAGGTCCGGTGACATGGTGGTCATGGCTGGATCGAGGGGATACCCCTGAGGATGTGCTGGTCCGACTGTTGGAGATGTGTTAGTGCTGCTGTGGAGCCAAGCGTGGGCTCGGAGCCAGGGGGGCGATTACCAAGAATCCTCGTGGGGATTTGGTTGACAAACATGACGTCCGCATCGAGAAACTGGGTCAAGTATTTTCCGTTGGCCAGGCTTTGGGTGAAGACAAATGCAGCCAGGCTCTTTCCGTGTCTGTGTTTGTTACTGTAAGATGCGGTCGAGGGCTTGTAAGCGAAAGTCAAAGTGTGCCACTTACACATTGATCAAATCTATGGCGTCGTCCATGCTCGTCACTGTATGGACATTCAGACATGACTGGTTTATCTTTCCCTTGAGCAAAAAGGAGTCTCTGTATGCTGGCTGTCAGCTACGACGCGCTGGCGAGGGTTATGCCGGTCGGGACAAGGACGTACCGTTGCTCCACGACGACGACGGAGCAAAAGTCTCCCTCGGTGACAACCTTTGCCTTGCCCTCGGCCTTGATCCTTCTCAGGAGCTCGCCGCCAGACCCGAGCCGAGAGTTACCGGCCGCGCTCGCCGCGTGTGCAGCGATGAGGCTCGAGGTGCGCCTCAGGACGGCCTCCAGAAAACCCTGCTGGACCCACTCGTTCACGAGAACCAGGTCCGGCGCATATGGTGAGGCCCCCCCAAACCCGAAGCGGGCCGTCACCAGCGCGCTGGCGGCTTTGTCTAGGTCCGCGTCACGCTCCACGACGGCGACGACGCGGCGGTGGGATGCGGAGACTAACAAACGGGGGGACGGGGTGGGTGTTGCCTCTGCGTCACTGCCCATGATAAAGTGGGTGACATCATCCCTACCCTTAATGGCAGCGTCGATCTCGGCTGCTGCCGCGGTTGCGAATGTGTTGCGATCCAGAGCCTCGGTCAGCATGCGGCCGAGAATTGCCGGAAGCTCCCGGATCGTCTGTTCGATCTACCAGAAGCCATTATGCTTAGTTATACCCCCGACTTTTTTGTGGCCTCATCAAACAAATACCTGCAACACCACGCAGTTACCTCCAGCCACGGCGGCGGCCACGGCAGAGACGACCGAGTAGACGGGCGTGTGGGCCGCAGGGGGCAACGAAACCACGACGATGCCGACGGGCCTCCTCGCCCCCCTGGCATCCCGCCCCCTGGAGACGGCGTACTCGAGCTCGTGGGCGGCGGCGACGTCGAGTCGCGGCGAGGCCGAGAGCTCGCGGACGGCGCGGACGGCGAAGCAGAGCTCGAGGCGGGCGTCGTGCGGCGTCACGGCGGAATCTTTGACCGCCGCGACGGCGGCGCGCTCGAGCTCGTCGGCGTGGGCGGCGACGGCGTCGTGGAGCCTCTTGAGCTGGGCGCGGCGGAAGATGGGGTTGTGGGCGCGGCCGTCGGTGGCCGAGCCTCGGATGCGTGCCAAGGCGGCGCCCTGGTCTGAAGAGCTGGCCATGTTTTCCTCACTTCCTGCTCAGGCGGGCGCCCGTGGGAATGCCGTCAGTCTGGGATCTAGTTGTTTGTCTAACCACAGACAAAGTTTGCCTAATTGAATATCACATTAAAATGCCCAGCTAGGCCGAGGAACCCCACGGCTATCCCGATGCGAGCTCCCAGCTCCTCGCCGTGTTCGGGCGCAATTGGCACAGACCCTAGCCTATCGGATTCAGCGTCTTCCATTCCAACGTCAACGACGCCGTCAATCGAAATCAATCCAAACCACGAGGCCATTCAACATTATCGACCCGAATCTTTCTGGTCTCGCCTGGCGGTGCCGAGCAAGCTCGACCCTTTCTCCCAAAATTCCCAATACTCGCACCCATTGACAAGTAGATCATGTGGGAAATGTCAGAGACCTCAACCACAACCACGCCGTCGGAGATCCCCAACAGCCCCTCCGGCGTCTCCATGGTGCTCGCGGACTACGACGTCTACCATTCGGACCAGGCCGCAGAGGAAACCGGCGGACTGGCACCGATTACCGCTGCCGCCCATGATAACCCGCCCGGATGGGATATATCGCACCGTCGTGTGCCTCCGCACCGGCCCATCAATCGCCATCTGGACCAGAGCCAGCGGGCCGTGTTCCAGAACATCGGCGAGCGGGCTTTTATCACCGTCTTGTTCACGGGTGTCGTCGTCAACGCGGTATGCCCGGCTCCTTGCTGTGAAATTTTGGCTGCCTCTGCTGACCAGGCTCAATAACTGTCCCCGGTAAAAGTTTGTTGCGGGGTTATGGCGAGCCACAGGCGGGAGGATCAACGATTCCATCTTCAAATATCCTCTTGGCGGAGAGATGTGATTAGGCTGGACCGGAAACGAGGCCTGGAATAGAGGCATATTGCCATCTAGGGTACACATGAACCAGCATCTCAAATGCCTCTCCACGGCCCGCTTCACGCCTCCTGCTTCCCACCCTTGTGCTCGCCCCCGGCGCTGCCCTCGCACACGTACGTCTTGAACTGGCGCATCGGCAGCCTCTTGTCGAACATCTCCTGGACCTCGGCGTAGTTGCGGCCCTTGAGCTCGGGCAGGCAGAAGTACAGGTACGCGCATATGGGCAGCGAGGTGCCGAAGAAGACAAAGGCGATCTTGCCGCCGAGGTTGGCCTGGTCCGAGTTGATGAGGTACGGCATGACCTGCAGGACCAGGCACGAGGCGGCGGTGGAGACCATGATGTTGATGCTGTACGTTTTCTGGCGCAGCGTCACGCTCGCCGTCTCGCCGCCGACGCCGTACGCGACGGCGCCCAGCGTCATCTGGTACAGGAACCCCCAGATCACCATAAAGGCCACCGTGGTAGACAGGGCGCCGGGCGTCGGGATGGTGCTGACGCCGCCGACGACGAGCAGCAGCGCCGTCATGACGAAGCTGCCGCCCACGAGCAGGGGCCGGCGGCCTAGGCGGTCGACGAGCGGCCACGAGCATATGTTGCCCACCAGCTGGATGGCCATGGCGGCCTGCCCGACGGCGAGCGGGTCCTTCACTCCCGCGAGCCGGAAGTAGTAGGTCAGGTAGCCGCCGACGAAGTTGACGCCGATGAACTGCTGCGCCAGGTACACCATGACGATGATGGTGGTGCGCCGCCGGTTGGTGCCGCGGAAGCAGTCGGCCCAGCCGCTGGCCCGCTGCGCCTCGCGCGCCTCCGCCTCGAGCGCGATGGCCGCGTCCGCCACGGCCATGGCGGCGTCGGCGTCGAAGGACGGGCCGTTGAAGACCAGAAAGGCCCGGCGCGCGTCCTCGCGCCGGCCCTTGATGAGGAGCCACGACGGCGACTCTGGAAGCCAGATAAGCGCAATCAGCATGAGGCCCGGCGGGATGATCTGCGTGATGATGGGGATGCGCCAGGCCTCGTCGCCGTCGTAGGCCGCGCTGCAGGCGTAGGCGACGAGGGAGCTGAGCCACTGCCCCAGCACGATCATGGTGTTCTGGGCGCGACCTGAGTTAGACGTGCTTGCTCTTGAATGAGAGTAAGAGGCGAGGGAATGATACAGGCCAGAAGAAGAAGAAGAAAAAAGAAAAAAAAACTAACAACAAGCACGAGGCACAGCCCGCGCATCTTGACAGGCGCAAGCTCCGCCACAAAGACGGGCCCCAGCGAGTGGCCGACGCCGAAGCCCACGGTGGAGATGAGCTTGCCGCCGAACAGCATGGGGATGGAGGTGCCAAAGTACTGGACGACGACGCCGGCGGCGCAGACGACGCAGGCGACGGCGATGGTGCGCCTGCGGCCCACGAGGTCGCTGATGACGCCGGCGGCAAAGGCCGACGCGAAGATGCCGATGGTGTTGGCCGCGTTGAGGATGCCCTGGTCCGACGCGCCGATGACCCACTTGTCGCCCACTTGGTAGCCGAACCGCTGGGCAAAGGGCGTGACGGCCAGGAGCTTGCCGAGCATGGCGATCTCGTAGCCGAGGTTGATGGGGAGCAGGTAGATGATGAAGCCTGGCGGCGCGGGACACCAGCGCAGTCGGGGGTTAGTCGACCCGTGTTGGGATTCAACGAGTATAGGGACAAAGTGTCGGCGCCGACTTACAAAACATCAACACCCGCCGGTTGTCCCAAAAGTCCCGCCATTGCACCTTGTCCTTGTTGGCGTCGCCGGCAGGGGCGGCAGCCTCCTCGACCTGCTGGACCACAGCAGGGCCGCCGGCAGCGTTGTTCTTCTCGTTCATGGCAGGCTAGATCAAGACGGCGTTTGAGCCCTGGGGAGAAAGGACGACAAGCATCGCCTCCCAAACTTGCCGCGCCCGCCTCCTATTTATCTACCCCATGAAGACGCCGTCGCTATTGCCGAGATGTCCAAGTTCGTCGCACTCAGGAACCCATCCCCCCGCCCATTTCTCCGCACTTACCCCGTACCCACCGTCGCACTTTTGAGGGTTTGTGGGGGTGGATACGGATACACAGTGCCTCGCCCACAGTGACCCGGCCGGCGAAATAGTTGCCTTTCTAGGCACTATTAAGCACCTTTCCCCGGTTTTCGGCAGGACTGGCGACATCCCATTGCCTGATGTGGCGACTCTAAGCACCCAGACACGCAGCATAGGCTCGGTGACGGCTCGTTCAGGACCCGAGGTGTGTCACCGTGGACTGTTCTAATGTCGATGCCATGTGTGACGTCGAGTAGGAAGATGCGTCGGCTCAGTCGCCAAGGGATATTCCCGACAGCCTGGGTTGACAGGTCAAGTTTACCCTAACCCTGCCATGGTCGGGATCGTGGTTGGGGATATCCGAGGAAGCTGTTTTCCACTGGGCGGCTGGAGGCCAGAAATGTGCCGTACACTGAATCGTAGCGACAACAGTAGGATTCAACACGCCCTCGGTCCATCATGTCAAGTCCCAGTTCAAGCCTAGAGGGTCACCTGACCCCCGTGTTCTTCTTCTCCCATGGCTCGACGATGATGCTCGGCGAGGAGTCCGAGTCGGCCACCTTTTGGAAAAAGGCAGGCGACGAGGCGCTCGCGAGGGGCATCAAGGGTGTCATCATGATGGTGCGTGCTCTGCGTTTGTGTTCCCTACCAAAAAAAAGACACCCCCCTCTGACATGCAAAAAAGGGCGCGCACTGGGACGCCCTCGGCGACTCGCGCATCGACGTGGCGACCAACCCGAACCCGGGCAAGTCCCCCGTCGCCTTCGTCCACCCGTCCAAGTACGCCGACTACAAGCTCAACTCGGACCTGGCCACGGCCCCGCGGTGCCTATCACTCCTCCGCGCCGCCGGCTTCGACGCCCGCGCCAACCCGACCTTTGACTGGATCCACGACACCTACCTCATCCTGATCCGCATGTTCCCCGCGGGCTGCCCGCCCACGGTCCTCGTGTCGGCCAACGCGCGCTACGACCCGCACGAGCACCTGGCCGTGGGCGCGGCGCTGCGCCCGCTCCGCCGCGAGGGCTACCTGCTCGTCGGGTCCGGCGGCGCCGTGCACAACCTGTACCGCAACGTGTGGGCGCCCATGGTGCGGTTCCGCGACAACTTTGCCCAGGAGCGCCCGCCCGAGCCCTGGGCGCTCGAGTTCCGCCAGGCCGTCGAGGACGTGGTGCGCGGCAGCGGCGGCGGCGGGCCGAGGCTGCGGAGGGCGGCGGCGCGGCTGTTCAAACACCCGCGGTTTCGGGACGCGCACGCCACCGACGACCACTTTGTGCCGCTGCTGTTCGTGGCGGGTGCCGTTGGGGAGGAGGAGGACGAGGGCGCGCCGGGGAGGCTGGTGGCTGAGACGTGGGAGCTGAGCAACATGTGCAACAGCCAGTTTATGTTTGGGCAGTGGCCGGGGGAGCAGGTTGGGGCTTGTTAAGGGTTATTCGCGCCGTCAAAAGTCACAAAGAGAGGACAGATAGCATGGTGAATTTGACACATTAATTTGTTTATTAGTTTTTCCTTCGTTTTCCACCACCTTCCAGACCCATCGCTCTTAACGAGCGACCTGGTCCGCCTTGATCAGATCCGCAGCCTAAAAGAAAACATGTCAGCACAGGCATCACCAACCACACCGACAAGGGGCCTCTCCTTACCTTTTCAGCAACGGCATACACCGTCTGGCACGTGTTGGCGCCCACGAGGGTCGGCATGATGCTGCCGTCAACGATACGCAGGCTCTGCACGCCGTACACCTTGAGCTCCTGGTCGACGACGCCGCCCATCTCGCGCGGCATCATGGCGCACGTGCCGACGGGGTGGTAGACGGTCGGGCTCAGCGTCGTCTCGAGCCAGCGGTCGAGCTGCGGGCGCGTCGTCACGTTCCGGCCCGGCTGCGCCTCGGCGGGCGCGTACGGGGCCATGGCCGGGTTCTCGAGGAAGAAGCGGCGCGTGTACCTCAGCAGCTCGATGTCGACGTCGCGGTCGAGCGGGTTCGTGAGCGCGCCGTAGTCGACGACGGGCTCGCGCCCCTCCGGGTCGGCGGGGTCGACGTTGACGCTGCCGCGGCTGAGCGGGTGCAGCGAGATGAGCGGGCCGCCCGAGGAAGGGGCGCCGTTGACGATGTAGTTGTAGAAGGCGGTGCCGTTGCCGCGCATGGCGGCCGCGTACGACGCCATCTGCGCGCCGTAGCCGCGCACCACGTCCGGGTGCGTGCCCGCCGGCAGGGAGGCGGCCGGGTCCTGGGCGGCGAGCGCGTCGGCGATCTCGCCCGCGCGCGGGGAGATGACGGGGAAGGACAGCCAGGCGGCCGCGTTGCCCGACGCGAGCGAGTAGGGTCCCGTCCGGTTGGCGGCCCAGAGCTGGTCGGCCTGGGCCTTGAAGGTGGTGTTGGTGGCGAGGTCGTTGGCGTTGGGGCGGAAGGTGAAGTTGCGGACTGGCGGTGGAAGGGTTGGTTAGTGACCGATGATGTGGGATAAATAGAGGGAGGAGGTTCGGCAGGCCGACTCACGGTTGAACATGGCGGTAAGCATCACGTGGTCCTGGAAGTTCTGACCAACTCCCGGAAGGTCGACGACAGTCGGGATCTTGGCCGCCTCCAGGACCTTCTTAGGCCCAAGCCCGCTCAGCTGCATGATCTGCGGCGTGTGGATGCCACCGGCAGCCAGGATGACCTCGCGCCGCGCCCTCACGGTCTGGACGTCCTTGCAGGCGCCCTCGCCGACGGCGGAGTAGGCGACGCCCGTGGCCTTGGTGCCCTCGAGCAGGATCTTGTTGACCTTGACGCCGACCTTGAGGTGGTAGTTGCTGCGCTGGACGTCGTCCCAGTGGCCGGTGCGGGCGTACGAGCGCGTCACCGTCTTGGGGTGCGAGAATTGCGGGTACCAGTACACGCCCGTCTTGCCGTCGCCGCTGTCCGACGTGAAGCTGACGCCCGGCATGGCCTTGAAGCCGTCGATGATGGCCTTGACGCCGGGGAACTGGAACGACGGGAAGCCCGCGTGGACGCCCGACGTCTTGCCCCAGTACGACTCGTCGTACTTGATCTCGGACGCCGCCGCCGTGGCCGGGTCAGGGGGCGTAAAGTGCAGCGCTTTCTTGAAGTACGGCAGCAGGCCGTCCCAGGACCACGACGACCCGGGCCCGAAGAAGCTGCCCCAGCGGTCGTAGTCCTCGGCCGTGCCGCGGATGTTCATCATGGCGTTGATGGCCGAGCTGCCGCCCACCAGCTTGCCGATTAAAACGGCGGTCCTGCGGTTGTCTAGGTTCGGCTGCGGCACCGAGTTGATCGAGTACATGTACTGGGGCTGGATGGCCGAGAAGCCGCCCTGGACGGTGCTTATGGCCGAGTCGTTCACTAGGTCTCGTTAGCATGGGAGATGGTGGCTGTCATTGAGTGTTTCGGGAATCCCCCTTACCGAACTGGCCGTATTCCAGCACCAGGACCGTGGTCTTGCCGTCCTCGGTCAGCCGGTCGGCAACCGTCAGCCCGGCGGTGCCGCCTCCGACGATGACATAGTCATACTCTTTGGCCAGGCCGCACGAGTCCCGGACGACATGGGCGCCTCTCGCCTTTGACGGAGACCCAGACGCGAGGAGAGGGGCCGAGACGACGGCAAGGCCTGATAGCAGAGAAGTGGCACGCATCTCGAGCTGATGTCTAGCGGCGCGGGGAGGGTGTCCTGGGAGAGTCCTAGGAGACACAGAACGAGGGCGCGACGTACAGCTTTTATCCCAGCATAATATAATACCCAGTCAGCCAGGCACGCGCTGGACCAGCCAGGAGTTCATCGCGCCCCACAATCAATCTCGGGGCCTCCAGTCCGCGGCCCCGAGAGAACGGCTACCGACGAGCGATGCGCCAAGTCGCTACCCCTGGACCTCAGGCCGGGAGAGAAGCTTATTGACCGCGCGGCATGAGCCTAAAGCGGAAAGAGGCCAGCCCCGGCGGGTGGGTAAAGGCGAAATGGCGCCACCCCCAAGCCCGGCGAATACCATCGGCAGTTTAGTCAGGCCAACAGCGGGTTGCAGGCGCCATGTCAATCTATTATACTCCCCCCCCCCGCTCATGGCCTGTTCCATCGCCGTGGCAAAAGGAACTAATGTCGCTCTTCAGAATTCGATGCCTGGCTGCCATGCAACCGACGAATCCAACCGTCGCATAAAACTAACAACTCTGTCGGAAATTGCCTCAAAGATGCACCTGCAACATCCAACATCTTGACAAACGGACAGAAGCAGCGTTGCCGACAATTTGGAGAACGCGTGGCACGGACGCGGCATAAACAAGAAAACGACGCGGTAAGCATGAATTAGCTTTTGCCTCCCCCTGCCTGCGGGGGCTCCTCTCCTCCATCGCAACCCGGCACTCAAAAAGGGGCGCCCCTCACATAGCCTCGGAATCGACTCTGGTCTCCCAGAAGCTCCGGCGTGTACGACCCATGGCCGGGCAGCTCTGCCAGCTCGCCACCGCAGGGGACTCCGTCCTTTTCGTGGCAGTGCGCCCGGTCCTTTGCGTCGACGCCAGACCCTGTCGCCTCGAATATCTCCCCGCCGCCGCCGCCGTCGCCGCCGCCGCCCGGCTGGCCTATTGTCGGCAGCTCGCTGGCCGGGCTAACGACAAAGTCTGCCGCAGGCAGCGACGGCGGTGGCGGCGGTAATTGTGACCCGTCGTCGCCGCTGGTCTTCCCCTCCTCGAATCTCGCCGACGATGCCACGTTGTCGTCGTCGTCGCCCGACTTGCCGACGCCGCCGCCGCGACGCCTCCAGCACGCGGCCCACCAGACCGCAGCCAGCAGCAGCGCGAGGACGGCCACGCCCCCAAGGACGCCGCCGACGATGGCGCCGACCGGCGGGCCTGTCGATTCTGCCGGTGCCGCGGTCGGACTGCCTTGGACCGACGTCGTCGTCGACCTCTCGGAAGGCCCGCCGTTGGGCGGCCTGGGCTCGGCGGCCAGGATCTGCACGCCGCGCTGCGCGGTCGACTCGCATATGTAGAGCGTGTAGATGGACCGGGTCTCGGTCGTGGTGGACCATAGGTAGGTCGCGCAGAAGGGAACGTCGGCGAAGTCGGTGCTGGGAGTCCGTGGTTAGCTCTCAGCATGGTAGGCGGGAAGAATGAGAATACAAAAAGAAAGAAAAAAAGAAAAAAGAAGAAAAAAAGACACCCACCAGCAGTACTGCATCCTATGCTCCGCCGTCTTGTCCACGCACAGCCGGTGGGTCGCGTCGAGGCACCCCGTGCCAAGGGTCGAGTGCTGGCAGTCGGTGCAGCAGCCGCGCACGTTGTTGGAGTTTGTGCACGTCAGGCCTGAGCCGCAAGCGAACGGGCGGACTTTCTGCCCGGTCAGCATCGCCGTCAGACTGTAGACGGAGGAAGTCTTCTGGAGCCTCACATTGCGCGTCTGTCCGGTATCCGCACGTCTCGGACCCGGGCTGGGCCGTCGCCCCGTCCCGCCTTTCGTGGGCGAGCGGGGGCGCCAGGGTCGGGTATGGGGCCATTCGGCCCGCGCCCGATGGCTTTAGTGAGGCTGTTTTGCGGGCCGTCATGGTTAGCGGTGTCTGTGTTGCATACCTACTAGGTGCCTAAGGTAGGTGGGCAGGAACTAAAGCTGTACTGTTCGTGGTGTTTTGTGATGACTCTCCCAGAGTGAATGTCGACAGGACGAGATGGGGGCTTCCGCCAGGGATTCCCGCTGGGCGCGGCAGCCACGGTTGAAGCTCGATATTTGCCCACTACCTACCTAACCTCTTCCTACCCGGCGCAGCATATTGTGCACTCTCTAGTACTCCCGTCTTGGGTTGCACATGCATGCCAAATTGCGCATCCTGCCATCACACATCAAAATCCTTCAACCTTCCCACTGTGGCGATATCGGCCTGCCCTGCCTTGTGTTTTAGTGGCTGTGCAGACGGTTTCACTGCATACGCGTGGTGCAGGTGTGCCCTCGCCGTGCCCGCAGGATCGGTCGAGATGTGGTCCAACTTGGAACCGGCTTTTTGGATGCAGATATCTGCAGCTGCAATCCTGCCATCATACCAACCCGCCAAAAGCCCTCAGTGGTTTTAGCCGATTATACGAGGATGAAAGCAGTCGGTTAAAGCAGACACAGCAAAAGTTTAAGGGGGTGTAGTTTATTCCAAGGACGGACCTGTCCAGGCGTTTCGCCTCAAGTCAACCCCACGGCTAACACCCCGAGTCGCGGCAAACTCGAAGCCTCCACTACCCGCTGTCGACAACAAGGATCAACCGAACAGCGTGTGTGGTTTAAGGGTAAAATCCATCGTTGCCATCGATGGGCTCCCGGTTCGAGTCCGGGCACACGCATATCTAATTCGATTCTTTTCGACAAATTTTCTTTTTGTCTTTTAAAACAAAGAATAAGTTGGAGTAAGAGGGTTTGAGCCCCCGGAGGTTTGAGCCACCCCCATGACGCGTGGGCCCGTGGGCCCACTCTTCTGCTTATTTGGGATAAGCGCGATACAATCACGTTTGGAATTCCCTATAATATGCTTCTCAACGAGCCAATCCCGTGCCCGGATTTAATGCCGGCCCCGCTTCAGCTGGCCTCGCCACTGCCGGCCTTTTGCCACGGCGTTGTGCCAAAGGCGATACAACCAACTCCGCCCGCCTTGCAGCCGCACGTGCCTCGTCACGTGTGCTTGCACCGCCTTAATATTAGCAATCCGCACAAAAGCTTTGTGGGTATTAGTTAGCCGTTGCTGCGCCTCGTTGCTACGTGGCGCGGGCATATGGCGTTTAACATGTAAGGCAATTGGAGCGATTTAATTGGCTGAAAAATTGAAAAAAGGCTGTAATTGGCTGAAATTTGCGGGTAGTGGATCTTAAACGGTTGGAGTGAAAAAAAACTGTGAGATGCACCGGGTACGAGGCTATTTGAAGAAAAAAAAAGGGGTTCAATCAGTAAAACCCCACTTTTACCAGGGGGTGGCTCAAACCTCCGGGGGCTCCTACCCCAACTTATGTTTCCCTCTCACCCCCAAGACAATTTAATTGATACACCAAAAGGGCGGAAAAGTGGGCAACTTTTCCCCAAATCGACTTAACAGCTTCCGGCAAGCAATAAACAATCAAATGTGTAAACTTCGGGAAAATTATAAAAATTGAAAAAAAAAAAAGCCATTTAAAACTATTGCTTATTTATTTGGTACTTGATATTTGTAAATTTCTAAATTGGTTATTTCGCCGGGAAACCGCTTTGTAAATAACATGCTTCCTTTTGGTGTATCAATTAAATTGTCTTGGGGGTGCCTCTCCTTCATTGAGCCGTATGTGGCAGGTAGTCAATGACACATCAGTACTACCTTAGCTAGCTGAAAACAACACCTCAGTTTGATCGCAGTGCAACCCTGCCCACGGTGCTACCAGTCCTTTCTCAACAATACCAAGTTTGGCAGTTTCAAGAGAAGGAATACTGCTGGTGGGGTGTGGCAGTGCATCGCTTATGCCTCAAGGCAGGTGATCAGAAGCGGCATACCGACGACCTTGCCAAGCTGTCACAAACCAGCGGTGCCCCGCCGGCCAAGCCCCCGACGTGTAATCCCGTTTGAGTTTGGTGCACCAATCCTGGGCGGCGATCGCTGTGATCGGCCAGATTGTCCCACCCTGCAGCCCGCGGCCGCCCGGGGAGATGGAAACAAAACGAGGAGGCATGGCATTTTGCTGTTTCGTCTGCATTTCCCGGTATCTGTCTATATGTGCGTGTTATTGCGAGGGCGAGACATTTATGTTGACTCGGCTCAGTCGAGGACGCCGAGGACACCAAGCTTTGGCTTGGGAACGGCCGATGAGCTTTGGACGCTTGAATTTGCGCATTGTGTGGAATCTATTTTCCGTCCTAGTCCCTATTGTTTCTGTCATAACAGTCACAAGCCGTCAAGAGCGAATGACCAAGAACCGAAGGTAGTTAATGAACCGACTGTCTCGATAAAAGATTTCCCCCGCATATTCCGTGTATGTCTTGTCTCGCCAGGAAACTGCCCATCGTCCTCGTCCATGCCAGATATACTCTAAAATAAGGCGAAAAACCAGTCGCAAAAATCTCTAGAATTCCATGGTATCCTTTCTCCCAAACTACCATTCCCGTGCCAAAGACCGCAAAGCGCAGCAGAACAAAAAGACTGCATGGTTGCACCGTCGTTGAGGCGATGCTTTGATGTTTCTTTTCTTCTTCTTTCACCCACAAACGGCTCAGCGACCGACCGAGCAGGTGCAGCCCTTGCGCAGCGCGGCGTCGGTGTGCGGGAAGGCCACGCAGAGGTTACCCCGGTGGGTGCAGTCGAGGCCCTGGGCGCCGCAGTTTGTGGTTTCGCACGGCCCGGTGTACTGGCGTGGTTGGAGGGCCGGCACGGCGGCGACGAGGGAAGCCATGGCGGCGACGAGGATCTTGGCGGCGAGCATAGTGTATGTTGTTGCTGGGTTTGATGGTTTTGATAGCGTTGGAGGAGTTGAAGAGCGAGGTTGGAAAATTCTAGTGCAGGAGGGCGAGGCCCGATCTATTTATGACCTTTTTTGCGGATGGTTGAGATGATGGGGGATGCGATGGCTGCTTGACATCTGAAGGTTTCTTGCTCCAATGGTAAACAAGCTGACTAGCGGCCGGTTTATATCTGCGGCGAGACAGGTGTCTATCCGAAACATGCCTGCGCGAGCGCGGCCGCCAAGGCCAGAAATTGGGCTCTTCCCAGACCGGCAGCTAAAGCCAAGCCATTCATGACAGGTGGCCCAGTCCCGGGCAGCCACACGTCGATCTGAGATGCGGGCTGGGGTGTACCACTAACAAGTGCCGAGGCGCTTGTACGTCCACCGCTTTCAATTTCTTGGCAATCTGTTTCCTGCTTTGTCAGGAGCGCCAAGGATGATCCATATAACTAAGTACAAAGGGCCCCCTCGTCATTATAGACTCTTGGCTGTCTTGTCTTTTTTGTGCGGCCAAGGCGGGCCAAGGTCCGCGGCGGCCGGGATAGACTTCGGACCGCAGGTCCAAGGGGCAGTCCCTGGCCGGGTCTCTACCAGGTCTGTTCTAAACTCTAAGCCTCCTTCTCCTCCTCTCCATCACGGGCCTCGGTCCGTCTCGGAGGCCGCCTCCGCCTTCAGGACGTGCTTCATGACCTTGCCAGACCCCGTCCGGGGCAGCCCGTGCACGAAGCGGAACTGCTTGGGTATCTTGTAACCTCCGATCAAGCTGCGACAGTGCTCGACCAAGTGGGCGCTGGCGGCCGTTTCGTCTGGATGCTGCGAGGCACCATTCCCAGCTTGTCCCTCCTCCTGCTGCGCGAGCACAATGTAAGCGCGACCGACCTCGCCCCATCGGGCATCAGGGACACCTATGACGGCGACCTCGGCGACTTTGGGGTGCGTCGCGAGGGCCGCCTCGACCTCGGCAGGGTAAACGTTCTCGCCTCCTGAGATGAAGACGTCCTTGCGACGGTCCATAATGTACACGAACCCGTCCTCGTCGCGGCGCCCAACGTCGCCCGTGCGGTACCAGGGGTATCCCCCCTCACCGTCCACTAGAGCAGTCGCCGTCGCGCCCGAGCCGTCCAGCGACAGCAGCCTGGCCCGCCCGTCCTCGGCCACCCCTCCCCAGTACCCGGGCGACACGCTCGGCCCCGCGACGGCGACCTCGCCCGCCTCGCCGACGCCCACGGGGCTTCCGAGCTCGTCCAGGATCTCGACGCGGGCCAGCGGCGGCTGCCGGCCCACGGAGCCCGCCTTGGCGGCCACGGCGGCGGGCGACAGCGGCGGCATGCCGAGCGCGGTGCCCGTCTCGGTGGTGCCGTAGCCGTCGGCCATGAGCACGCCGCGGCCGAGCCACCCGCGCACGCGCGCGGGCGGGTTGGGCGCGCCTCCCGTGAACAGCGCCCGCAGCCGCGTCCAGCCTTCGGGCCTAAAGTTTGGCGCGCGCGCCAGCGCGTCGGCCATCTGCGGGACGCAAAAGTAGTGCGTGACGCCCGACGCCAGCCGGTCGTTGGTGGCGGCCGGGTCGAAGCGGGGTGAGACGACGAAGGCGGCGCCGCTGGCCAGGGGCGCCCACACGGCGACGACGAGGCCGATGACGTGGAACATGGGCGCGTCGCACAGCAGCAACGACGCGCCGTCGACGGCGCCCAGGGCCGAGAAGTTGAGGCCCGTGGCCGCCATGTTGCGCCGCGTCAGGACGACGCCCTTGGGCCTGCCCGACGTGCCCGACGTGTAGAGGATCGTGGCCGCGGCGTCGGCGGAGACGGCGCGCGGCGTGATCGGTTCTAGTGGAGACTTCCTTGCGTTTTGGAGGGCGTCGACGAACGTCTGCGTCCAGTCGAGGTGGCGGCATCTACCAGGCGGCGGCGCCGTCTCGGTCGTCAAGATGGAGCCCGATGTGCCAGCGTTGCCGCCGCTCCCGTGGGAGCTGTGAGTGTAGAGTAACGCTGGCGAGCAGTCTGCTAGGAGCCCCGCGAGCTCCGGCAGAGAGAGGCGCCAGTTGAGCGGCACGAAGATGGCGCCGAGCCTCATGAGGGCGTGCTGGAGGATGACCAGGTAGACGCTGTTGGGCGCCAGGACCGCCACGCGGTCGCCAGCTCGCACTCCCTCTTCGGCGAGATGCGCCGCTGCGGCCGAGACGTCGCCATCGAGGTCGGCGTAGGTCCAGCACTCCAATGTTGTGGTATCACAGCAGGCTGTGCGGCCAGGGTAGTTTATAGCGCCGCTCCTGATGGGGTCAAGGCTGAAGCCCGGTGGGATATCCATGGTGAGAGATGGATCGCGGGTGAAAAGTCGGTAACGCAGTTGACGTATTGCAGAAAACGATGGCCGGGCGAAGTGTTGCGGAGGTTTTTTGTTGGTTGTTGTTTTTGGAAAACCCCGAGCAACCTTTCTGCCTCCCGGTGCCCCAGCTCCAAGAACTACCTGGAGAACCCAATGACTAGAATCTCAACGTAGCCTCAGGTTAGATTTACCCCTACAAACAAGCCATGGCTGATCATACTCCTCCTCAAGGCATCAACTAACAGCGGAATTATACCTCGTTTCTCGAATTCCTTCACCCCTTTGCGTGTTAGCGTGTTATTGCCCCGCCAAACACCATGTCCTCGCTGAAGGAATGCATCGCCACAACTGTGACCGACCATTACAATTCTTGATTCTAAATTGGGCCGAGAGCCACCCCAGCCCACCAGGCTGATTCCAGCAAACGCCCGAGTGTGGACAACCGATGGATTACAACAGAACACATAGATATTGTCACGCTTGACGGAAGCCTCGGGAACTTTGCGTGGTGTTTACCCGACTCGACTTCCAAGCATACGGGTCTCGGGTCCGAAAGATGTCAGATGGACTCGAACACCCCTTTCCCTGCCGTGGGGAGGGATTCGGCCCCAGCCGACAGCGTGCTCATCTCAGCAGGGGTTCGGGGAGCAAAGGGGTGTGGAGGCGGCGAGGCGCAGTGGCCCAAGGTCCTGCGACATTTGATGCTCTCGTGCAGGCATAGAAATCAACTGAAAAACGTGTTGTTTGCGGCCCGGGCTGCGCCATGCCATCTGTGCCGCGGGTTGGGGGCCAGGCCTTTCCCAGAAAGGTACATATATCGAATGCAAACGCCGCGCTTGAGCGCCCAACCGTTGGATCTCGTGGTCTCGGGCGGGGTGGCGCTGTCCCCACAACCAGGTTGGCTGGCGTAAGATGTGGGTGTGGTCTTGGGACCAATCAGCGTCGGCCTCCTTGCAGGAATAGGCAAGGGATGCGTCAACGTCACTTCAAATTGGTAGGGCTGTCGCCTACACTGGAGCCCTACTCTCCTATGGAGTGTGGCTCAGGAAGCCGAGCCACCATGCCCAAAGAGAGCCCATCTCCGAGTCTACCTAGATAGAATAGAGTAACAAGCAGGATTCATGGATGACTCCAGGATGCCAAGATAAATATCCAGCCCCAGGAGGCAGACCTCATGATCACGAGGGTTGAAGCTCTGGGTGACATGTCAAGAGGTGTCAACATGCCAGTTGGGGGCGCCCAAAGAGGCACTGTATTTCGCCTATGGATGCATAGGAATATCTCGGTTGGGTCAGTCGAGGGGCCGTGCCTAGACAGCTGGGGGTGAGGACAAGAACTCAACCTCGACCCGTCCATCCCTCGCGTCTCCTCACACTCGAGCGCGGCGCTATTTCCACCCCCCAAGTCCCCTCTCCGTCTTTCTCGCTGGGCAGTCCAACCCCACCCTCGGATTCTTCGACCGCACAAAATCCACCATTCGATTTATATCGCCACCCAAGCCCTTATTGGCTTCCACTTCTGACCCCACACCGGCTGTAGTGATTCTTTTTCTGATGTTCGAGTGAAGTCGATACATTAGCTTGTTGTGCGTTGTTTTGTCTTGTTCTCCCTTTTTTTTTTTTGGCAACCCGTCCCACCCTTCCTCACCTTGACCCATCAACCACGGCGGTTCCGAGACGAAAAAATCAACCATGGGACGCGAGGCGAGCACCCCGAGACGACCAAAGCCGCTGGACCTAGCAAACCGGTTCATCATGGTCCCCGATGCCCTGACGCCAGGTATGGGCGCGACAGGACTGCTGACGCCAGCCATGCCAGCCACGGCCGCCATGACATCAGGTACGGGCCCAACAGGACTGCTGACGCCGGCCACGACCACCCTCAGCCAGACCACGCCCCCTTCAACCATCAACAATGGGCTTGACGGCCATCGAACCATGGGTACGAGCATCGTAGAGAGTGAGAAGAATTCCAGCACCGGCACCCATCCCGCACACGACGAGAGCAGCGCCAAACCCAGCCATGGCGTCAAGAAGAATCCATACCCACCATATGAGCCCATCGCCATCATCGGAATGGGCATGCGGCTGCCCGGCGGCGTCCACGACGATGTCTCGTACTGGGACCTTCTCGTCAACGGAAAAGACGGTCGCTGCCGCGTCCCCGAGTCGCGCTACCACGCCGAAGCCTGGGTCCAGCCGCCCGGCAGCAACAAGCCGCCATCGGCGGGGCTTGCGGTCCCCAGCACGCACGGCTACTTCCTCGCCACGGACGCGGACGGCTCGGACCCCCTGCAGCGGCTGGACGGCAGTTTCTGGACGCTGGGACGGCACGAGGCCGAGGCGCTGGACCCGCAACAGCGGCTCTTCCTCGAGGTGGTGCACGAGGCGCTCGAGACGGCCGGGCTGACGCCCTCGTCGTACCGCGGCGCCGACGTGGGCATGTACGTGGGCCAGATGTGCGACGACTGGGCCGGCATGCAGCGCATGGACCGGCTGGACCACGGCGCGGCGCGCGCCGAGGTGGTGGGCGACTACATCGTCGCCAACCGCGCCTCGTACGAGTTCGACCTGCGCGGCCCCAGCGTCGTCGTGCGCACCGCGTGCTCGTCGTCGCTCGTGGCCTTGCACATGGCCTGCCGCGACCTGCAGGCCCGCACGTGCGGCGCCGCCATCGTGGGTGGCGTCAACATCATGGTGACGCCGCTCGACACGGTCGGCATGAACGTACAGGGCGTGCTGTCGCCGTCCGGGCGCTGCATGGCCTTTGACGCCGACGCGGACGGGTACGCGAGGGGCGAGGGCGTGTCCGCCATCTGCGTCAAGCGGCTCGACGACGCGCTGCGCGACGGCGACCCGATCAGGGCTGTTATCCGCGCCAGCTGCGTGTCCAACGACGGTCAAGGCGGCGGCCGGGGCATCACCAGCCCAGACGGCGGCGCCCACGAGCGCATCATGCGGAGGGCGTACGACATTGCTGAAATTGGCGACCTGGGCCGCACTGCCATGGTCGAATGCCATGGAACTGGAACGGCGGTTGGTGACCCGATCGAGGCTGGAGCGGTTGCAAAGCTTTGGGGAAAGGATGGGATTTATATCGGATCAGTGAGTTTCGCTTAACCCCTTACGGCCGTAGCACACATGGCCACAGATTCCAGTCATTAGCAGTCATCAGATTTCTAACGTCGACTAAATACAGGTCAAGGGGAATATCGGCCATGGAGGGGGTGCCTCTGGCCTGTCAAGCCTTATGAAGATGGTTTTGGCTCTGGAGCACTCGACGATTCCGCCCAACATCCACTTTAACACGCCGAATCCGCGTAGTAAGATCGTACCCTTTCCATCTCCAACTCCCTCCGATACACTAACAATACGCGTCTACAGTCCCGTGGCAGGATGCCAAGCTCACAGTCCCGACCAAGGCTAGCCCCTGGCCAGCTGATCGTCTGGAGCGGGTGTCGGTAAACAGCTTTGGAATTGGCGGCACAAATGCACATGCAAGTATCCGGTCCAACCCCTTTTGTGTGGGTCACACTTGCTAACAAAGTATGCAGGTAATTCTCGAATCTGCCTCTTGCGCAGGGGTGCTGCCACGCCCCATCCCAGGCATCGGTGTCGAAACCTCGGAGAACAGGGATGATGATGTTTCGTCGCAACGCCTGCTCGTCTTCTCAGCAAAGCACCCCAAGGCACTGGAGCGGTCAGCTGAAGCCGTTCGCAACTATCTAGCAGACCGCCCTGTCAAGCTCAGCGATATGGCGTACTCACTGGCAACTCACCGTGCGGCATACTCCCAGCGAGCCTTTGCCGTGGTAGGGTCCGATGAGGCTAGCAGCTTCAGGGTGGAGGCGGGAGGTACAGCTCTAGAGACACAGCCTTCCGTGGCCTGGGTGTTCACGGGTCAGGGCGCGCAGTGGCCGCAGATGGGCAAGGAGCTTCTAGAAAAGGAGCCGCTGGTGCGCCAACGTGTTGAGCATTTCGATCGTCTGCTTGCCTCACTTTCGAAGCCTCCGCCGTTCACCATCAAGGGTAAGCATTGATAACAAAGCCAAACGCAAAGCTCTATTTAGGAGACAAACGCTAACAACCCAAATTAAAGACGAGATAATGAAGCCACCGGCTCATAGCCGTCTGTACGAAGCCCAATACTCCCAGCCCTGCATGGTCGCTCTCCAACTTTCCATTGTCGACCTCCTCAAGTCCTGGGGCGTCAAGCCGGCTGCAGTGGTCGGACACTCGTCGGGTGAGACGGCAGCAGCATACGCCGCCGGCGCCGTGACGGCTGACGACGCCTTCCTGCTCGCATATCACCGTGGACAAATCACCCCTACGCTTGCGAAGGCCCACGACGGCAGCATGGCGGCCATCGGACTCGGAAGGGACGCAGTCACTCCGTTCCTGCAGCCGGGCGTGATTATCGGCTGCGAGAACTCCCCCGAGAGCGTCACACTGAGCGGCGAGAAGGATGTCCTGACGTCCGTCATGGCCGCCATCTCGGCCGCGCGCCCTGAAGTGCTCTGTCGGAAGCTCAAGGTCGAGTGCGGCTACCACTCGCAGCACATGGCGGTAGTGGCCGACGAGTACTGGAGTAGGGTTACCGGGCCAGACGGAGTGCGGGGCCAGGCTGTTGAGCCCGCCATCACTTTCTACTCGTCCGTCAACGCAGGCCTGACGAAAGACCTCTCGCCGAAGCACTTCCTCGACAACCTCCTGTCGCCCGTTCTCTTTGACGGCGCCGTCCGAGCTCTGCTCCGCGATCTCCCCACACCGCCCGTCTTTGTCGAGATCGGGCCGCACGCAGCGCTGGCCGGGCCGATACGCCAGATCGTACACAGCGAAGCCGCCGCAGTCCTCAGCCAACGCCAGAACCAGCACCACAGCCCACAGCAGCAGAAGGAGGCCCAGCACACCTACATCCCCACCCTCGTCCGCAGCCGCGACGGCATGGTCTGCCTCCTCGAGACGGCCGGAAAGCTGTGGCTCGCGGGCGCGGCCATCCAGCCGCGCGCCGTCAACCCGCCCGGCGGCTCCTTCCTGCGCGACATGCCGACCTACCAGTGGCACTACGAGGACGGCAGCCATCCCTGGCGTGAGACGCGCATCTCGCGCGAGTGGCGCCTGCGCCGCTTCCCGCACCACGAGCTGCTGGGCTCCCGCTGCGTCGAGACGGGCGACGCCTGCCCGGCCTGGCGCTGCCGCCTGTCCCCGGCCGACGAGGCGCCCTGGCTGCGCGAGCACGTCGTCCGAGGTACCCCCGTGCTCCCCGCGGCCGCCTTTGTGGTCATGGTCGGCGAGGCGCTCCGGCAGTTGGGCGCTGGGCGCGACGGCTTCTCGCTCAAGAGCGTGGTGTTTTCGGCTCCGCTGGCGCTTGATAGAGACGAGACAGTTGAACTGATCACGGCACTCATGCCGATACCCGATGGCGAGCATGCCGGCTGGTATCACTTCTCCATTTCTTCCATTGCCGATATCAAGAGCGGCGGCGCCTGCACGCAGCACGCGACGGGCAGCTGTGCGGCCGGCGCCAAATTCCAGCTCCCTGCACCCAACATGGCCGCATCGACGGCCTCGCTCGTGCGCCAGGTCAACCATGGCGGCTTCTACGACACATGGCGGCGATTCGGGCTCGACTACGGCCCGCAGTTCCGGCGCATCAGGGACGCGCGCTCGCACGTCAGCGAGCGACGCGCCGCAGCCACCATCGATACCTCGTGCGCGCCCGAGGACGAGGACGCCTACTGCCAGGCGGCCATGCATCCGACCTCGCTCGACGCGGCCTTCCACGCCTGCATGGTGGCCGGGTGCGTGGGCCTGGAGCGCAACTTTGAGCGGCTCGCGGTCCCGCAGCACATCGAAGAGGTCTACGTCAAGCCCCAAACAGGCGCCGCCACGGCCGCGGAGATGACTGTTGTGACTGAAGCTTTCGAGAACGTAAACGGTGTAAGCTGCAGCAACGTCTTTGGCACGTCCAAGACTAGCGGCGAGATCCTCCTGCACGTCCGCGGCCTCAAGGCGACGCCCCTCCCGGAGGAGATCTCACCAGAAGGGCCAGCCGACCGGCATCTTGCAGCCGTCCTCCAGTGGAAGCCCGACGTCGACTTTGGCAGCTGGTCGTATTGGATAAGGCCCAATAAGCGGCAGTACAAGGCGCAAGTGGCAAGCCTGATGGGGCTACTCGGCCACAAGACGCCCGCCATGCGCATCCTCGAGGTAGAGACCCAGCACGGAACGAACATGACCGACGCTGCGCTCCAGGCGCTCAAGTCGGGTCAGGGAACACCGCTGTACAGCGAGTATGCTCTCGTCAGCGGCAGCGACGCAAGCTCAAAGCTGGCCCGGGAGCACTTCGGGCAGACTGCCAGGATGAGATTCGCCAAGGCCAACCTTGGCCCTGAGGGGTTCGACCTGGCACAGGCCCTCAAGACGCCGGCACCCTTCGACCTGGTGATTCTCAACAGCGACGACAGCGACAGCCTCAAGGACCTACTACAGGCAACCCGGCCGCTCTTAAGCGCGCGCGGGCGACTGATCATCAGCGATACCATTGCGACGGCCGGCAATGACGACACCGTGGTCGACAAGTACAAGCATTACATGGGACGCATGGACTCCCTACGGCGCACCCTCTCCACCGCCGGCTTCCTCACCCAGCGCGAGGTCGTGTACAGCTACGGCGCGTCCACCATCATGGCCACGCCTACGCCTCCCGACGACCCCCAACCAGCAACCCCACCCAGCCGCCCCAACAAGACCATCAACGTCCTGGCGCGCAGCACGCGCAGCCCGCGCGTGTCGGCGGCGGCCTCGCAGCTCCGGGCGCGCGGCTACCGCATCCAGTGGTTCCTGCCGGGCCAGTTGCTGCCGACGCGCAAGGCGACCGTCAGCCTACTAGACCTGGACGAGGAGCGCGGCCCGTTCCTGCACGGCATGGGGCCCGACGACCTGGCCGCCCTCAAGGCCAGCGTCCTCTCCCTGCAGGGCACGGCGGCCACGGCGCCGCAGATGCTGTGGGTCACGGGCGCGGCGCAGGTGCGGTGCGTCGACCCGCGCTGGGCGCTCGTGCTCGGCTTCGCGCGCAGCGTGCGGCGCGAGACGGGGGTTGACCTGGTGACGCTTGAACTCGAGAGCTTTGACGCCGATGGGTGGGGTGCGGTTGTGCGCGTGCTGGATGGCTTTGATACGCGGTGGCGGGGCGGCGATGAGGAGGATGGTGTGGATCCCGAGTCCGAATATGTCTTTTCCGGCGGCGAGATTCAGATCGGTCGGTTCGACTCGGTAGACTTGCCTGAGAAGTTGCTGGAGAGGGCGCCCGATGGAGAGGGTGAGGATAAATCACGCAAGGTCCTGACCATGAGCAAGCATGACGGCCATACATCGCTCGAGTGGAAACAAGAGGCCGTCACGACTGGGGGCAAAGTCAACGGCAATACCGTTCAGGTCCAAGTACAGGCCTTTTCCATACCACATGGTGGGCTTCAAACCACTTCAGAGCCTAGTCTCACCTCGACAGAGCTCACATTCTTGACCAGCGGCGTCATCAGCGCCATCGGGCCCCAGGTGGACAAGTTGGGCGTGGGAGACCGGGTGGTCATGCTGGCCAGCGGCAGCATTGCCACATCGGTTCAAATCTCCGAGGATATGTGCTTCCGGATCCGCGACGACATGAAATTCGAAGAAGCTGTCAAGCTCCCGCTACTCGAGTATTGCAGCGCTTTCCAATCTCTCGACACCCTCGCAGGGCTGGAGAAGGGTCAGGTAAGTCGAGCTGCACACCATTAATCTCCTAGCGATATATATCTTTAGCAGACGTGTGACTGACAGTGACTCACTCTGACTTGCGCCGTTACCAGTCGATCCTGATTCACCGCGCTGAAACACCGATTGGCCGGGCAGCCCTCGAGATTGCTTTGGAGCGTCACGGCGACAAGAGCGATGATATCTTCGCCACAGTCACCAACGCCGCTGAGGCTGAGGAGGTCATGACCAAGTTCCATCTGGCGAGCGACCACGTCTTCATCTCAGGGTCCACAACCTCGTTCCTCCATTCCGTCACCGAGGCCACTGCCGTAAAAGGCGTTAACATTGTCCTGAGTACCTTTGCGGATCCAAGGCTCGTTGAGGCCTCATGGAAATGCCTGACGCCATACGGCCATCTAATCCAACTTGCCGGCTGGGATGCATCTCCGAGAACACGAGACAGCGGCGAGCAGCTGCGTGGCATCGACATCCTGCGTGACAGCAAGACATTCTCGCGTGTAGACTTGGCACAGGTCCTGAATCGTCGGCCACATTCCCTGCATAGGTGAGCCCCCCTATTCTAGCTTGGGATTCACCCATTCCGCGGACTGACGATGACTGACGAACTTGCCCGATTTCTTCCCTTCTTTAGCCACCTACGCAAGGCCATGGCGTACTGTCGAACAGGCAACATCAGCGCCATCAACCGACACATCAAAGTTCTAGAAGGCGATAGCATCAAGAACGGCATCAAGGTCCCCCGCAGCCCCGGCGACGGCACCTCCCTACTGGTGGCCAAGCTCCCCGAGGACGCGGGCGCGCTGCGGGTGGCGCCTGCGAGACGCAAGCTCGCGCTGCGGGAGGACCGGACATACATCGTCGTCGGTGGCGTCGGCGGGCTAGGCATCCCGTGCGCCAGGTTCCTCGCCGAGCGGGGCGCCCGCCGCCTGATGCTCTTCTCGCGCTCCGCTGAGCGGTTCGCCACCGACAATCCCCTCCTGTGCGACGAGTTTAAGGCCATGGGCTGCAGCGTCAAGTTTGTCAGCGGCAGCATCACCCAGGCCGCGGACGTGGAGAGGCTGGTGGCGGCTGCCGAGATTCCCGTTGGAGGCATCATACACTCCGCCATGGTCTTACAGGTATGACGCTCTCCCTCACTTACAGTGACATAACGATCAAAACGCTAACCCAAATCTCACACCCCCCCTCGCACACAGGACAGCCACCTCGCCAACATGACGCACAGGCAGTGGCGCGACGTCATCGACGCCAAGGTGCAGGGCACGTGGAACCTGCACTCGGCCACGACCGAGTCGTCGTCCCAGCCGCTCGACTTCTTCGTCCTCTTCAGCTCGCTCGCGGGGCTGGGCGGCCAGGTGGGCCAGGCCAACTACGCGGCCGCCAACGCGTTCCAGGACGCCTTCGTGCAGCACCGGCGCGCGCGGGGTCTCCCCTGCGCCGCGCTCGACATCGGCATAATGGAGGGCGTGGGCATCCTGGCGCGCGAGACGGCGCGGCTCGAGGCGCTGCGGTCGGTCGAGCACCACATTCTGCACGAGCGCGAGCTGCTAGATGCGCTGGAGCTGGCCATCCTGGACGACGGGGCGGGTGGCGGTGGCGGTGGCGGTGGCGATAACAATATCAACAATAGCGTCGCGCCCAAGAGCTCCTCCGCAGTGCCTGCCGCCGCAGGCTACGTCAGCGCGGGTCAGATGGCCATCGGACTGGGCTTCACGGCGGCCGGGCAGGGGCTAACGAGGCAGTCCGCCTGGCGCCGCGACCCGCGGATGCAGATGGGGCGGTCCTCGGCTGGGCACGACAACTACGATGACGAGACCACGAGCAAGGAGCAGCAGCAACAGAAATCCAACAGCGGTGCGCAACAGCTGGCCGACGCGCTGGCCCACGACGCGCACGAGCAGACGGCGGCGAGCCGGGAGGCGCTGACGCGGACACTGGCGCGCGAGCTGGCGGCCACGGTGCGCCAGCTTACGATGCGGGACGCTGACGACGGCAACCTGGACCAGGACGCGGGCGCGCCGATGCGCAGCCTGGGCGTCGACTCGTTGGTCAGCGTCGAGCTGCGCGGGTGGCTGCGGCGCAGGGCAAAGGTCGCGCTCAGCGTGCAGGACGTCCGCGGCGCCGAGACGCTGGCGGACCTGGCGCGGCTGGTGACGCAGAAGACGGCCGACGCGAGGGGGGCGGCGGATCGCCACTCGGACTCTCGGGTACCCATTGGGGTGCCAGGCTGAAGGAAGTGAGCTCTTGATGACGATTATGACGGTTGCATTTTCGTCTTGTTTGAGATAGTTCTGGCATGGTTGATACGGATTTTTTCGCGGTTGTTCAGGGAACGGAATTATCAGGAGGGGCGTTTGTAGGGATACCGGAAGAGTGACAGATAGGTCTGTATGTTTCTGCCGTCATTGTATGTATTTAGCCTTCTCGTATCACTTTCGGGGGCTGGCTAGAACGGGGTAGTAGTGGTTTCTATCGAGGACGTAGATAACGATGGTCCAGGGCGATATACACAAACCACTATCACGCCCTGCTATAATAGATTGAGGGGCCTCCCCGGATTAGTAGTAGCCATAAACCAGAAGAAAAACGCCAAAATCTACAAATTGTCCACTCCTCTCTTCGCCACGCCTTCGCCATGCTCTTCGCCGGACTGCTCATTACTGCCATCTTCGCAGCTGTCTCTGCAGCAAGCGGCTTCCCGAACCGCCAAAACACAACCGCGGCCGAGCAAAAGCAGACCACCAGCACTGCTGGGTCGGTTGCCATTTCGCAAACCCAAGCGCCGTCTGCCAATCACTGCAGCCAGACATACCAACACTGCGGGTGGTACCTGGCCAAGGACCTAGGTGAGTCGCTTCCATGAGAAAAAAGGGCCGGCTTTTACCACTTGGAACAAAGACAGCACATTGCCCTTCATGATCAAAGAACTAACAATGGCACATCAAAGGTTACGTTGGCGCCATCGACAGCGGCATCTACTTTTGCCTGGACGACACAACGGCCACCCTGACTTTGGACTGCGGGGCAAGGAACTGCTGTGGCTCGGGAACTACAGCACACTGCTGCTTCACCGGACACAGCGCGTAGCCGACAGCCAGAAAGGACAAGTGTAGGGGTCAAAGCCGGTGGTTACTGGAAACCAAGGTGGTCAATCAGGTGTCACAAGCGATTTGGGATGTCTCAATGGTTCCATGCCAAGATCATGGGCGCTTCTGATCAAAGAGCGCCCAGCAATTACTACTAGTAGTATACAACAACAACAAAAGAACTCCCATACCCCCAAACTCAAGCCCACACCCTTTATGCAGCATTGCCGTCGGCGGGTGTGCCGTTGTCGGCCGGGGCGGTCAGGAAGCCCTGGGCGGCGGCCTGCTGGATGCCGCCAAAGAAGACGTTTGCCATCTTGACGTAGCCGGCGTCGTTGGGGTGCCTCGTGTCGGACAGGTCGGCCGTGGTCGGGCCCTCGGCCGAGCGCATGTCGACAAACACAAACTTGGCGCCCTCGGCCTTAAGCTTGTCGGCCATGGCGGCGAACTGCGCGTTCTCGTCGACGCGGCACTTTTCCTGCGCCGCGACCTTGTTGACCAGCACGGTCGGCATGACGACGGTGGCGCCGGGGCTCTTTGCGTAGATGTCGCGGATGAGCGCCTCGACCTGCTGGCCCGCGTCGGGCACGTTCTTGCCCTTGTTGCAATTGTTGGTGCCGACGTCGACGAGGACGAGGTTGGGGAGCAGCTTGGGCGCGGCCTCGGCCGTGGCCTTTGCGATCTGCGAGATGACGAAGCCGCTCGTGGCCTCGACCTGGTTGTCGGCAAAGTCGCCGTTCTTGCGCGTGCCGACAAAGTTGACCGTGTCCTTGGACGTGAAGTTGACGCCGTCGGCGGTCAGCAGGTCGCGCAGGTCCTTGCGGTAGCTGTTGCCCGTGCTCGAGCCGACGCCAAAGGTGACCGAGGCGCCGATGCACATGATGCGCAGCGGGACGGGGCCGGCGGCGGCGGCGGCCTCTTCCTGCCTGGCGACGAGGAGGGGACCGGCCATGGCCGAGCCAGCTGGAGGTGCGAGGTTAGCACGGTGGTTGTTACATGTCGACCGTCTATACAGCACGCAAGGGCATAACCTTACCGGCAGCAAACAGCAGAGAAACAGACGCAAGCATCTTTAGGGCTAGAAAGAACAAGGGTCCTAAGAACAAGGGTCCTGGGGGGAGAATAAGAATGGAAAGTCTTGGCAAGGAAAAGAAACGTGGTTGGCTACCGAAAGAAAGAGAAGACACAGCACGATGGACGGCAAGGAATCAATCGGCAGCTGCCACGCCATTTATTCATCTTGGCGATCGCAACGTCGCAGCCCGCGGCACGAACCCTTCTCCCCCAGCTTGTTTCGGATCCGTCGCGTGCCCCTTTTACGGAGCAGGGTCCATGGCAAAACCGCTCCTGTTTTACAACCATGGGTGGTCGAAAATAGGGCCCCAATTTGAATCGCTTCGCTTCGAGACAAGGGGCCACCTGGTTGCTGGGAATGGCCTCGACCCCTGACCGGATGCCGTTACCCGTTACTTGTCAGGAAAAGTATGCTTAAAATCTCACTCGACATATCAAATGAAATCAAACCAGACCGCCTCCACCTCCTCACAAATCACACGATGGGCAGCACCAGGTAGTTGGCCAGCCCCGGCCCAAAGTTGACGTGATTCCACCCCTCGAGCACCCCGGGCGGCCTGTCGACGGGGTCGTCGTGCAGGAACAGGCCCGAGCCCTGCGTGTCGCCCGACGCGACCTCGAGCACGACGCGCCCGCCCGCCTCCACCACCACGCACGTCGGCCACAGCTCCACGTCGACCGCGTACACCTCGCCGGGCGCCACGGCCCGCGCGTCGGCCGCCCGGTACTCGCGGTGCGGCAGCCAGTCGCGGTGCCGCGGGTGCGAGTGGTCCGCCGTGGCCCGCAGTGAAACCCGCAGCCAGCCCTTGCACAGCGGCACCGGGTCGCCCGCCGTGCCCGTGTACAGCACCTCGGCGCCGTCCGGGCCAATGTGGCGGAGGGTTAGGAAGATGTCAATGTCGCTGGGTCCCCCGTCGTCGCCGCCGCTACAGCAGTCGCCCGTCGGGTCCGCCAGGCTCGAGGCCGAGACGTTGAGGTGCGCCAGCGGGTGGCCCGTGATCTCGGTCTCGGCGGCGAACGGCGCCGTCGAGAACTGCACAAGCTGCGGGGAGCTCATCTCGCCCAGCGCCCGGTACGAGACCCTCCGTGTCGGCGCGTCGGTTTGCTGTTGCTGCGGCTCCTGCTTGTCCAGGCCCAGATCCGGGGTAAGGAAGAACCTCTCGTAGCGCGTGCGGGCGGGCGGCCACTCCGCCTCGGCGCGGCGGCCGTAGGCGCGCTCGGCGACGGGGTTGTCATATCCGACGTTGCCCTTCCGGATGACCAGGTCGACGGGCGGCAGCCCCCCCCGGGACGGACCAGCCGGCGCGGTCGTCGCCCTTGAGGAAGGCGTCGAGGAAGCCGCGCTGCACCTCGACCTCGCCGTCGTAGTAAAAGGGCAGGTCGTGGCGGCCCGCGATGGCGCGCAGGTACTTGAAGCGCGACGACGCGTGCAGGAACCCCTGCACGTTGCCGCGCAGGTGCAGCAGGATCCCGCCCCAGTTGGCCACCGAGAGCAGCGGCACCTCGACGTCGGCGAGGTCGTAGTCGCGCGAGGCGTGGTACTCGTCGTCGCGGAACCGGTGCGCGCGGTTGTCGGCGTTCTGGTCGCGCCTGTTGGCCGCCAGCTCGTCGGCGCCCAGGTCGCCCTCGAGCGTGTCGGGCCCCCAGCTGGCGGCCGCCCGGCCCGGCCGCCCGTACTGGTTGGGCGCCACCTGGCGGTCCCACCAGAAGCGGATGAAGGCGTTGGACAGGATGCCGCCGTGCCGGCACCGGTCGCGGTAGTAGTCCGACATGCCCTCCCACGGCACCATGGCCGCCAGCCCGCGCGGCCGCCGCGCCGCCACCCGCCACTGGCTGCCGGCGTAGTAGCTGACGCCGAGCAGGCCGACCTTGCCGCTGGACCAGGCCTGGTCGGCCGCCCACTCGATCAGGTCGCAGAAGGCGTCGGTCGTGCCGCGCGACATGGTGTCCAGCAGGCCCGGCGACTGGCCCGTGCCGCGCTCGTCGGCCCGCACGACGGCGTAGCCGTGCGCCGTCCAGAAGCCCGGGTCCGGCGTCTCCCAGGCCGAGTGCGCCGACTTGTGCTTGGGGTTGACCTCGGAGAAGGACTTTGGGTGGAAGCTGGGCGGCGTCAGCCGAGTCTTGGGTGTGAAAACGACCTTGTCGCCTACCTACCTACCTACCTACTCTTTGTAGTGAATGTCTTTTCCGTAGGGCCCGTATGTGACCAAGACAGGGACCGGACCCGAATCCTTGGGCCGGTAGACATTGCACCGGATCAGGCCCTCGTCGGCCTTGAGATGGACTGTGACATTCTGCTCAAAGATGTAGGGGAAGGAGGTATCATCGATTGTGTGAAAGTCCCTGATCTGTTTGTCCATGGCCATGTTTACGATGCCGAATCGGAGACTTGAACAAGGAATCAACAGTTGTCGATATTGAGAGCCAGATGCGGGAAGGACGAGGGTAGGACTGAAATGGGCATTCAAAATCGTTACTCGAGGCCGGAGAACCCCACGTTCACCCCGCCCCTTAGCTTGCTGCACCATGTGCGTCTGGGCAGTTGAAGAAGCTGGGCACCAATGACCAGGCGTGGCTTCAATGTACTTTATGTCGTCACTAGGTCCATCCAGACGCACCCAGCTTGCATCCAACTGCCGGTGCCAAGATGACTATTTCTCTGTGTAAACTGACCCTGAAACGAACAAAAAAAAAAGACGCCCGACAGGGAACCGACACGCAGCTTGGCTGCCCACAGTCCAAACACGCCACCATCGCTCCCAGCCCGCGCTCAGAATCCATACAGGTTGACGGGGGCGCCGTTCGCGTTCGCCAGCATCCTCTTGTTCTCGCGCTGCAGCATGAGGCGCATGTACCAGGCGCAGGCGACGGAGCAGACGGAGAAGGCGGCCGACGCGCTGAAGCCAATGGTGTAGCGCGGGGAGTCGGTGCTGGGCCAGATGTAGGCTCCGTAGATGTAGCCGATCTGGCCGGCCACGTTGGTCATGGCGAGGACCACCTGGAGTATTGTCAGTATTTTTTATTTTTTTGCTATTGTTTGACCGCCTTGGCCTATCCGTCTCCGGGCGTCAACTTACAGCCTTCTTCTCCTTGGTCTGCGCGCACGTCGATGACGCCCACCCGATGATGACCGAGTTGACCGAGTAGGCGCCGGCGGCAAAGATGAAGCAGGCCGTGTACCGCCCCGCCACCGTCAGGGTCGAGGCGGCGATGGCGAAGCCGACGACGGCCATGCCCAGCCCGGCCGTGACGTGCCAGGTGCGCTCGTGCAGCCGGCCTGAGCTCCAGCCAAACAGGATGCCGAACGCGCCGGCCACAATGAAGGGCGGGCACGTCATCAGGAGCGTGATGGTGGTGTTGAACTTGAGCGTTGCCACCACGGTCGGGAAGAAGGAGTTGAAGGAGCAGGCCGAGAGGTGGAAGTTCTGCATCAGGCAGAAGACCCACGTCTTGGGGTCCTTGACGGCCTGCTTGAGCCCCACCATGGTCGACGTCTCGCCCTGGTCGTCGACGCGGTCGCGCTCCATGCGGGCGTGCGCCAGCTCGCGCTCCTCGGGCGTGAGCCAGCGCGTCGTCAGCGGCGTGTCCGGGAGCAGCCAGAAGCCGAAGATGCCGACGAGCATCGTGACGGAGCCCTCGATGATGAAGAGCCTGTTGTTGGTTTTTCGTGTGTCAGAGTTTCTGTCGAGAATTAGAGGTGCTTTGATATGGTCTCCCCAAACTTACCAGCGCCATCCGGCAAGCCCCCGGACCATGTGCATCCCCTCAAAAACGCCGGCCGCGATCAGGCCCGAGAAGCCGGTGGCCAGGATCTGGGCGCAGTAGAGCAGCGCGATGCGGGCGGCGACCTCGCGGCGGGGGTAGAAGATGGACAGCATGTAGGTCGCACCGGGGTAGAACTGCGGGCGTGGTCGTCGAGCGTCAGCCACCGTCTCATTTCATGTGCACAAGAGGGCCGTCTGGGGCTGGCATACCGGAGCCTCGGTAATACCCAGGATAAATCTGCACGCCACCATGCCGCCGTAGTTCTGCACCAGGCCGGTGCAAGCTGTTTCGAGAGGTTAGTTGCGTCATGCCATTCCAGGCCTAATACTATAAGGCTGGACTTACCCGAAACGATAGCCCAGATTATCATCCATGAGCTCATGTACAGACTGGGTCGTATCCTGGTGATCAACATGTTGCTAGGGATCTGCAGCTTGGTCAGTTGGGCGGGCCTGGCCGTCAGGGGCACCGAGACGGAATACATGCTGCGCAAAACTGTCAGTCACGGCCGCTTTCCAATTTTGGAGAGAGGACTCCGCACATACCCTGCGTCAGGACGTAGCCGACGAAAAGAATGGAAACGGTGACGTTAAAGTCGTTCCCCGTCATTCCGAGGTCCTTTTCCAGGCCGTTTAGCCTGGCCTGTGCGATGGTGTTCCTGTCGACGTAGTTGAGGAAGTACATGACCATCAACGTCGGCTGTTTTTTTGTTTTTTTTGTTCAGGTCAGAGAAGTCACCAAAGAGCCAAATGCAGCCCCAAAAAGCAGGTAACAGGGCATACCATGATGCGCCAGTCCAACTTCCGCACCAGCGCCACCTCGGCCGGGTCGGTGGTGGTGACGGCGCCGCTGTAGTCCCTCTTGGGCTCATCCTCGAGGTTCTCGACCGCGTAGTCCTCGACGCCCTCATCCTTGCGCTTCGCGCCGTCGTCGTACGCGACCTTGGAGTCGGGGTTTGCCTGCGCCATTGTTGGGGCTGCTCGCTTGCTCTCCAGTCGGAATGGTAGCGGTGCGCGTGCGCGTCAGGGTGCCACGCAAGGAGGTCAGGATAGGCAAGACCGGAGGCCGAAGGCGGAGGGGGAGGAGAGGGCGGCTGTTTCTTTTTGTATGGGGCGCAACGCAGCACACCCTTCCTCCTAACGCCAGGCCCTTCCTCAACACATCGGGGTTCGCGGTTGCCCCTGTGCTCGCGGCGCGGCGGGTCGGCGGGGCCTGCGGGGGGCCGACGTATCGGCAAAACGGGTGGATGGGCGTGCTGCTTGCTTCTCCAAATCTGCTCCTGCCACTGGTCACCGTCGCATTCTTGCTGACCACCTATCTGTCCATTGACGGCAAATGTCCACCTGACTGCGTACGGCTTCTGGTATCGGCGACGTCAACAGCAGATATTGTCGGCTCAAGCAAAGCTACCCTGGAGACGTAAAGTGTCTAGCACAAACTGCTCTGTAGACATGGCGGCGGCTCTTCGGCCAAGCTCAACAGCCCAGAGGCGTTCGCTTGGTGTGAGTCAAGCCTTCTTGGGCTCTTGGTGCTGCGGCAACTGCCGACCGGAGACGGTAATTTGAGCCCCCGCACTTGGGATATGAGCTGGAGGTCTGGCTGACTTGGTTTCACGGTTGGTCAGCATCAAAATCTCTCCTCCCCCAAAGGACGCTCCCTTGAGCCCGTGAATATGCATCGATAGTAACACAGAAGAAAACACACCAGAGGAATAACAGGCACACAACCAAGATGGCGGTATACAGGAACCGCACCGCACCCACTTGCGATGCACCGCAGTCCCCTTGTGGATCGCAAAAAGTTGAGTTGTTGAGGACGGGCCAACTCCGGGCAAAAAGCAGGTGGCGGTGGGGGTCAGGGCTCGCCGCCTCCACTTCCCCGCAAACGGGGTGCGGGGAGGCCATGGCAAAAGCCCCAAACAAGCAAGATAAACAAGAGTGCTTGGCCCAGCACCCGCGGCTGGCTGCTGACGCTTCCGGGAGAGCCTGCTATGCTGTGTAAGCGGTGCGAGGTGGGCAGCGTCTCGGTTGGAGAATCGGCGCGGCGTGGAAATGCCGACCGAAGAGCTAGCAGTGGGGATTGGCCCGGGACGAAGCCCGATATAGGGGTCTAGGTCTAGTAATGCGAGCGGTGACGGACCTTGCTGGCGCTGCAGGACATTGACCGGGACACGTCAAACACATGAAGAAAAAAATGTCAGATAATGGCAAATGCTTGGTATTTTTCCTCCGTGGTATCCCCACAAGAAACAGCATTAAAAGCCGTACATGACAACAAAAAAAAGAACAACCAAACCCCAAAAGTTAAAATCCAAAACAGTAACGCCCCGCTTGCCAGCCACCCTTCCACGCTATGCGCGCTAAAATTAGAAATGGAGAGTCGTGAAAACGTCAAGAAACGGACACCCAAAAAAGATGACCCCAGAGAGAGAGAAACGAAACAAGCCTAATTTCTGTGTGGCCTGTCCCTTGCGCCCCCCCACCCACCTAAGGAAACTTCTTGCGCGCGGCGACGACTGCATTGAGCCAGGCCGGGCCGGTCGACAGGATGCCGTTTTTGTCCGAGCTCGCGACGTGGACACCGTACTGGTAGCGGCGGCCCTGCGCGTCGGGCTCGAGCCAGATGGCCGAGCCCGACTGCCCGGGGCTCGAGTCGGCCGCGTGCAGCAGCGGCGAGCGGGCGTGGTTGCAGCCGTCGGGCCTCCAGACCTTGAAGTTGTGGTTCACAAAGGGCAGCTGGCCGGTGCGGTTGCGGTCCTGCGGGTATCCGTACGACCACCAGACCTCCTTCTGCATCAGGTCCTCGGTCATGACCTTGACGCCCAGGTAACCGTTGGTGGCGCTCAGGTCCCGGTTCAGCACGAAGATGGCCCAGTCGTCGGCGTAGCCGCACGTGCCGTTCTTCTTCTGGCTGTCGATGTGCAGCACGTGCGTCACCGTCGCGGGCGTGAACCGGTCGCCGGCGTAGTAGGCTGGCGCGAACGTGTAGACCCCGTTGGGCTTGACGCAGTGCCGCGCCGTCGCCACCAGCCTTGGCCCCACGAGCGACCCGGAGCACCAGGACCTGCGCCCCTCGTACTTCATGGTGATGCGACCCAGGGCCGAGAAGGGGTACTGCATCCCGCCCTCCGTGTAGCGGTCGTCGGACCCGTGGACGGCGCGCGCCTTGACGATGCCGCCGGTGGTGATGCTGGCCGCCGGCCCGGAGCTGGGCAGCATGGGCGGCGCCTCGCTGGCGTTGCCGCCCTGCATCACGAACTGCTCGAAGCTGCCGGGGATGACGGCCGCGGGCTCCTCGTCCTGGTACTTGCCGTCCCGAGGCGCGACCCTGATGGCGGCGGCGCTACAGAGGGCCGCCAGGCTGAGGGATGAGAGGACGATGGATGATAACCTCATTTTGGCGTTTGTGGGTCTGACAAAAGGAAAACGACAAAAGGAAAAAGAGACAAAAGGAAAATGACAAAAGGAAAATGACAACAGGAAAATGACAAAAGGAAAATGACAAAAGGAAAAAGAGACAAAAAGGAAAAGGATGAGGTCTAACCCTCCTATGCCCGACGAGCTCAAGTTGGAGAAGTTGGATGAGTAGGTGCCCCGTGGCCAAAAGTGCGAGGCACCGCCTTGCCTTTATAGACTGATGTCACCAGCTGCTATTCCGAGAAGCCAGCCTATCCCGCCTCCCCGGATATGCAAGCCCCCCCTTGCATGAACCGGCATCCCTGAGGGTTCGGCAGCCAAGCCAGCGCCGGCAGGGCGCCTTGCCCAGGCCAGAAACCAAGCAGCACACAGCTCTTCTACTATAAACAGTAGCGTTTTGGGAGGCAGGTGGGCAGGCACGGCATCCAGAAAATAGTCTGGACCGCAATTTTTTCCCCACCCAAACTCTGCCTCTCCCAACACAATTAGCACCAAAGCCAAACAACATGCCCGCGCACCACTCTACACCT